CTTGACGAGGTGTCCTTCTTTCCAGTCCATTGGCACTTGTTCCTCCTCCCAAATCTTTTGAATAGAGGGTAAAGCATGCTTGTGGTTACTTCGACGTCTGACTTCAGTGTTTCAGCTGGTATGTTGTTGGGTCCTGCTGCTTTCCCGCTCTTGATTTGTTTGATGGCCATTCCGGTTTCTTCTGTCGTTGGTGGATTGACATCTATAGGAATATCTGTGTGTGCTGCTTCGATGTCCGGTGGATTCATTGGAGCCGGTCTATTCAGGAGTTCCTCGAAGTATTCTACCCATCTGTTACGCTGTTGTTGAATTTCGGTGATTGGCCTGCCTTCTTTGTCTTTGACCGGCCTCTCTGGTTTACTGTATTTCCCTGCTAGTTTCTTCGTTGTATCGTGAAGCTGTTTCATATTTCCTTCTCTAGCAGCTTTTTCTGCCGTCGTTGCTAGTTCTTCCACGTATTTCTTCTTGTCGGCTCTAATACTCCTCTTCACTTGTTTGTTTGCTTCGATGTTTTCAGCTTGTGCTTGGACTTTCTCTGCTCGTGTTCGGCTGTTGTTTATTGCTGCCTTCTTGTTCTTCCTTTCTTTGATCTTGTCCAGTGTTTCTGTAGAGATCCATTCCTTATGATGGTATTTCTTTAGACCCAGAACCTCTTGACACGTTGAAGTTAGTGCTTCCTTGATGCCTTTCCAGTTATCCTCCATAGTAGTTTCTTCTTCTTTCAGTAGATCTTGTAAGGCTTGGAACCTGTTGTTGAGGGATATCTTGAATTCATTGAGTTTGTCAGTATCTCGAAGGAAGGCTGTATTAAACCTTTGCAGTGCTGTTTGTCCACTTGTCCAGTTCTTCTTTAGCTTCAGTTTTAAATTGGCTACAACTAGGTGGTGATCTGAAGCTACGTCAGCACCTCTCGTGGTTCTCACGTCTTCCATTGTCCTTCGGAATTTTTTGTTGATGCAAATATGATCTATTTGGTTCTCTGTAGTGTGGTCCGGTGAGATCCATGTAGCCTTGTGTATACGCTTGTGTGGAAATATTGTGCCTCCTATGACTAATATGTTGAATGCACATAGATTTGCAAATCTTTCTCCATTTTCGTTTCTTTCTCCCAGTCAATCCATGTCGTCCCATAATATCTCCATATCCAGTGTTGTCTATTCCGACTTTGGCATTTAGATCTCCCATCAGAATAGTTAGGTCCTTTCTTGGGCATTTCTCTATGATTGACTGCAGCCGCTCGTAGAACTGATCTTTAATTTCGTCGTTGCTATCATTGGTGGGTGCATAACATTGGATAATATTAATTAAGATCCCCTCCTTCTTTGTTTTGAATGATGCTTTGATGATTCTGGATCCGTGAGATTCCCATCCTACAAGTGCATTTCGTGCTACTTTGGACAGCATAAGAGCGACTCCATGAGTGTGTGGAACATTGTCCTTTTCGTGACCGGAGTATAGCAGCATCTCTCCCGTAGCTAGCCTTTTCTGTCCAGCTTGGGTCCAGTGGGTTTCGCTGATTCCCAGTACTGCTAAGTTGTATCTCCTCATTTCCATTGATATTTGACTGGTCTTCCCGGTTTCCCACATTGTTCGAACGTTCCATGTACCTATAAAATTTTTTGCTCTGGTTGTTAGAAGGGGCATCGGCCTCGTGGCTTCCGAAGGAACTCGGCTTTCACCATGAAGCGTCATAACTCTTCTAAATGAAGACCTTTTAACTCCCAGGGCAGAGTTAAAATGGTTTGGATTATTTTTTTCTGGTAAGTGTTTTTTTAGCGAGTTAGTTTTCTACGGGATGAGGACGCTAACCCCATGCCTAACCCTCCTCCTTTACCCAGGCTCGGGACCGGCAGCAACCCTATAAGAGCTACAGGTGGAGTGTGAGTGTACCTATATTTTTCAGATACAGATTTGTGTAGTAAAGACAGAAGGACTACGACCTGTGTTATTCCACTTGTAGTATTTATTGCGAGTGTATAGCCTTATCTTGAATGAGTCAATTGAAGGTGCGGACATCTCTGATTCGGGTAACAAGTTCCATTAACTGATCACTCGGTGTAAAAACCTGGATACCACAGGTATTTTGTCCGTTCCTGACTCTCCTGTTCGCCTGCTATGTCCTCCGAGATGTCACAATCTAGTGGAAAGGTAAAGAGAGGATATATTAGGTTCAAAATCATTTCTTAGTACTCAATACATCAAAATCAGATCACCTGCCAGTTTTTGGTAGGAGAGTAAAGAGATCTAGCCTTTCTCACAGCTTTTTATATGACAAACTCCGAAGTCCTTGAATTGCCGGGGTAGCTGCCCCCTCTACGTTTTCCAGGATATCTGAGTCACCTTTCAAAGAGGCTTGCAGTGTGAACGCAATTTTCAAGTTTGGTTCTCTCTAAGATTATGTATACTTTAGTGAGCATGATGGCATAAAACTGGGTATCTGTCCGTCCTTAAGCCTTGGGTTTTTTAACCCTTTAGCTGGAACCTCCCTGCAATGGGCAATGGTCTTAAGATCATGACTCACGGTTGCCCTAAGATCGTTGTGAGACCGGACCATGTGTACAGGCACTTTCCCTATGCTGTATCTATTTACTTTTGAATCCATAAAGTGCATGTAGATACACTTTTCCGCGCTGATAGGCATCAGCCACTCTTTAAACCAGCTAATCACAATATTCAAGTCTGCCTGATGTGCACGTGTATCTGTGTCTCCTGTTATTTCCCACCAGATTTTTGCATCGCCAGCGTATAATAACATTAAGGATTGAACCACACTTTGGAGATCATTTACATACAGTTAAAAAAGTGAAGTATCTAGGACAGAACCTTGAGGTACTCCACTACGTACTGATCTCCAGACAGAGCACTTCGAACTTACTCTAACTTTCTGTCTACGACCTACCAGGAAATCCCTAAGCCATTCTGGGAGAGGTCCAGCAATGCCAAGCTTTTCTAGATTTAATAGCAGTCTATTTGTCCGAACCTTGACAAAAGCATTGCTGAAGTCTATGTTGACAACAAACAATGATTTTCCATTGTCTAGAGCTTTTATTCATTTCACTGTTGCTATAAGTAGGTTTGTTGTTCAAGATAAACCTTTTTCCGAAATCACGTTGCTCGCTGTTTAATACGTTTTTGGTTTCCATAAATGTCAGTGATCAAAACGTTTATCAATTCTTTCGCTTAATGGGTTTGAAAGTCTGGTCGCCAATGATGATCGTGGTACTTTGATAGAAAAATTGATAAATAAAACAAAGAGAAGTAAAGGAAGTTGTCAAATAATGCAAATAAGAAAAAAACACTGCTATGCCTGCATAAACCTGTAGATTCGACATTAAATGAAGCAAAATGAGAATTTTGTAATATCTATATCAGTCATTAATCAATGTAAATGTACAAACATATCAGGAACATGTGTGCCGACACAACCCGTGCTTCTTAGTTGAAATGTGCAAGTCAGCTTGTGAAAACTGCAATCAAACATTCAAAGGGAGTAGTTTCGTAAATGAACAAAAGTACTGCCAAGAACTCCATATCGAATTACAGAATGGAGTGTGTCACGGACTATGAAGAAGCGCCAGTGTAAAAGAGAAACGATGGCGAATCACTTGGAGTCGGATTCTACTCCAAAACCTCATCTCGACCCTGGGGTACTCTCAGAAATAATGCCTCATTCCAACTGCTCATTGTGCACGTGGATTTATAAGTACACACCGACGTGCCTAGATGCAAGAGACCTTCCTTGACACATCCGTAAAAGATGGGCCGATAAGGAAAAAAGGTGAGAGGCTTAGCGGCGTAAAAAGACTTCTTTGAAAATTCCATCAGACGAATTTGGTGTTCATAGAGCGAGTTTCTTTTGGTACTGTATAAACTCTTGTATGGAGGGTGTTTATAAACATATTGATGCCCCTCACAATAATTTTCAAAATTTCACTCAACCAGAGGGACTATCACAAATCCGATTTGCCTAATCCTCAAATCATGCGTACGTAAATTTTTATTTTGTGTGTGTTGAGAATGGAATCAAACATCTCTAAATGATTGTGTATGTTTCCCGATCACTTGTTGCTGCTCTCTCTTTAAATTTATCTTTCAGTCGAATGTATTTGAACACAAAATTACAGAATATCTTAGTAAAATTTGAGAACCATACAGTACATAATTAATTTGCTAAATCTCAATCAGTTGTCTGAAAATTAACTGTTCCTTTTGCAAACGACAACCAATCATTTCCATTGCAATCATTCATTGTTCCTCGTTCTCTTTTCATCGATCTTCTTAACCTTCTGCTACCTGGTGCTCCACTTTCGATTGATGATACATACAACTTATATCTATCGACATCAGTAGCACAGACCACAGTAATAAAAGTAGGTTCAAGGAATAGTGTGACAACCACCTAATTAACCAGTCCATGACATCCAGTTGACTGATGCGCATCGGTCGTTCTTGAACTTGAGGAGGATCGGTGAAATGTTCGACAACTCGTGACCCGACCGCCGGATCATTTAATTAGGGCACAATAACTTTTCATTGCGCTACATTTTGTCCAAACAGGAAAGTTGAGCTGTGGAAACCAAAAAGTGTTTGAAAAGTGACTTGGATCACCGTTAAATAGTACATAACTCGGGTTCTCTTCCAATTCCGTAACTGTGAGACTTGTCATGCCCAAAGTACCTTGAAAAGTTCGACGTTTCCAAACTTTCACAGATTAAGAAGTGATCCTATTTAGATTCATAGAATACTAAGATATGACTTTGGATGTAAACTGCCTCCTCTTCCTCCTTCACATCTAGTTCAGGACAACTTAAAAATGACTACAGGTGAGTTAAATTTGAGTAACGAATGTGATACTTATACCATGTAGGTTTTTACACACATTAGAAAAATATTAGAATATACTACGCGAGAAATTGGTTTAAACGCCTTCTATACTACAAACGGTTTTTGAACGTTCACGTTTCCATAACATCAACCAGGAGAATAATTAAAATCGAGATATTGAACAATTCATTGGGAAGTGCGGAGATTCACTTGTTGTCTTTACGTTTACAGATGAGTGCAGATTTCGAGACAGGCTATATGTTTGGTATTAGGGATGCGTGGGTCTCTGCAGTCGCAAAGCATAATAATGCAGTTAGAGCTTATGAAAAAAACGTAGTTAGATCTCAACGTTCAATTGCCAGAATTACAGATATGCTGGAGGAGAGTTTCACTTCTCTTTCCCTTAGTGTAAATTGTGAAGGAAATGAAGAAGCCTCTACAAATACGTGTCAAACAGAAATAAATTATACTCCAGCAGAAATATATCCTTCGACAGCATGTATGGGTTACTATGGGTTTTCGCGGAGACAAGCTAATCAGGATTTACTCAATGATATCATCAATAACATCATCAGTATTCGAATTGAAGTAATGAACCTGCGGTGCCAAAAATTAGGATCTGTCTTGCGTATGTCACATCAAGTTTTTTCGGTTTTTTACGGTCTACTTATGACATAGGAATCTTTAGGAATCCTAGATACAATGTCAAGTTTTTCTGTCATGTAAACAAAAAAAGGAATATTCGATATAAAATCAAGATATTTACGAAGAATATGTTTTGGTTTTCACTTGAGATATATGACAAGTTATAGTCAGCCTATTATAAACCTGATGTGTAATTATTCTCGTTTTCAAAGTGGGGTCGAATTTCATACATTGATTATGATATGAACTCATCCCCTCTATGCTTGTTAAAAAGTTGATCATGTAGATCACTTGCTACTACGCTTGGTGATAGCTATGTTTAATTTACGATGTAAATGAGTCTTTTGTACTGTGTAAATTAGTAGTCTTATGAGTCTTACGTCACGTAAACAAACACAGACGATAGAGAATGGGAAATTCAACGATGGCAGCTAAAAAATACAAAAACCCTGTGGAACGTGATCAGAACTGCCAATATGCTATGTGTTAAGAACGATATTAAAACTCATGATTCAAAATAAAAACAAATCTCAAATGTCACCTGAGGTTTCTAATCACCTGTGTATTTCTACCCTTAAATGTACCAGTTTTATATACACCTAGTGACATCTAATATGCGACGCCGGTGATTAGTAATTCGTGTTGTTTTTTGTATGGCTCATTTCCAATTTCTTGCTGCTCCGAACATTTTGTGCGCTTTAAGCTTACACGATCAGTTCAATCTGTCCAACATTCCCCTTCAGTTAGTAACTGGAAATTCGTAGTACGTGTTCCAGCTGTACTAACATAATCAAATTCGATTTAGTCAGCCATCTTTGTTTATTTCACGACTTACGTAAAGTGTTCGGATTCCAGAAGTTACTTTTACCATATGGGAAAGTTTTAATGACATCAGCGACGAATCGTATTGATTACTTTCGTTTCGAAGCAAGATAGCAGTAACGTATAAAGATCAAACGCAAGGAATTTGAAAGTAGCCGAGTAATTTTTTTCTCCAACCACCTATGTTGGTTCTTCTTGTTATTATCAGTACTCCTGTCGTCGTGAATCTAACACTATGACCGGTGTCCAATCTATTGACAAACCAGCTCATGATGTATGAATGCTTATGTCAACTTGTTCTAATTGTGTTTCATCAACATTATGTTTATAGGTATTACTAAAGGATCTGAGTAGTTTTCCTGATGTTGCACCAGGTTTTTCCATCTTCATTTATTTGTCTCTATAATGCTGTTTCAGAACCAATAACTAGTCTGCTTTTAAATGAGCTGCTGCATCAGTATTTATCTAAAATATTCAGATTATTTAGTTGGCGTAAAGATTGTGCTCCTCGTAAACTTTACTTGCTAAATGCTTTCACTTGCGATCGATATTAACTTACAACGATCGTAAGTTAGAACGTAAACTACCTCTGTTACGCGATATTCTCCACCGCTACCAGCGTTTTACAGTACCCTTTACTTTTCGTCTGTTTACTTCATCTGCAGTTCTATGCAACCATCGGCGTCGTTTCTCCCTGTTTATGGCTGTTGTGTTATAAACTGCCGTACTGTAGATCAGTCAACATTCCTCCTAGGTATTGGGTCCCTTTCATCTGTTGTAATACTCCCTTCGTATATATTGCTTATTACTGAGAGCGATGTTTTTGTTCATTATTTGAATTGTGCCAAATTTATCGTGCAATAGTTGAATAATATAACCAACCTTGATAAATAATACTCGCATCCTGAAGCTGTATACATAGCGCTTTGGTAAAGTTGCTAAAACGTCTGTATTTTTAGGTTTTGCTTTTCTAGTATTTGTCTGTAAGTTAAAATTATACTCCATTTAGTTCTCCATTGCTGTTTGCCTAGTACTTTTAACATTTACATATGGTGTATCTCGGAATCCTGTATGGAATCAAGTACATTATTATCCATTTGCAATATTTAGGCGGTCTTCTACATCGTGACTATGGATAATTACCAACTTCCCTAATTTTGTAGGTCCATCGGATAGCTTGATAAATGAAATTGAAGAAATCGAAACTCGAGCTTTGACTTTGATGACTTCACCATCTCCTATTTTCGATGATTGTGACGGAGCAATGGATTATCAAATGGAATTAATCATGAAAAAATTAGAACTTCAAGCTAAAGAGTGTCTTCTAGCTTGCAAAACTCTTGCTTCCACAGGTACTCCAAAAACGAAGCAACTACAGTCAACGATAAGTGTTACATCAGATGTGTCATTGTCTAAGAGTGATTCTGTAAGTTTAACTGATACTGAAAAAAAAATCAGTAATTAGGTCAATTTATGTGAATTATAATACCTACTTTATTTTTTAAAAGGTGTTTCCAACTTTTGGAAAGGCCCGTGCACTGCTTGAAAATTACACAAATATACTTTATCCGTCATTATGGGATTCAAAATTCAAAATGGATGCCTTAAAAATAAAACAGGATATTACATGTGCATGCAGTCAAGTGAGTTAACTGTTGTGAACAGATGCTTATTTACTTATCCATTATTTTTTAAAACTGAAACTAACCCGTTCACTGTTTCATAAGGTCGATGAGAGAATCATAGGTTTACTAGTTTCCAGTTATATTGTATCGTAAACTTATAAGGAGCCTCCATTTATGTCCCAAATCTACCATAGTAATGATGCAATCACTCTTCCCCCGCTTTTGTAATAAATACAAAGCCATCCTAGTCTGTTATTCCTCTTTTTTGTTTTAATTTTGGCACCTCATATTTATTCGGTTTGTTAACCATTTCATGGGTACGGAGGATCCATCTGGGAGAGTTGAAAAACCCTAATTCCAAACCAATGGTGTACATGGGCTCCAGGATCCAATGTTTATAATAATAATAATGCTTAAATAAATAATTTGTTCGTGTTCGCAGGTCACTAAGACCAGCATTAATTCACTATCTCTTCCAGTTCCCTCAAGGAGAAATATCCTTCCACACAGTGGGCATTCAGGAAGCAAAAGCCGGCCTCATACCTCTATCAGCACATGAGATCGTCTTGCTAACGATTCAATCACTCTCTCTCAGTGATTGCCTCAGAAAACCTTCTTTAAACATAAAAAGAAACGTCTAACGTGGCGACCCACACAATCGACTCGTCAATGGACCCGAATATACCATACTTCCATCAGCCATCTCTGTAGAGGCTCGATAGAAGACTGTAGTCCATTCTGAAGCACATATTTAGACTCAGATCATACTCTAGTCCGAGTACGTATTTGTCTTCCTTTCATTGGACATTGTAAAGCCATAACGTGAAAACTCAAAGTGAAAAAGTTTGGAGTATATTTCAAGAACAACTAAAGACGGAGTTAGTCAACCATGAAAGTGATGCCCACCCCTAGACAGTTTAGCATGATATCCAAAAAGCTGTAGAAACAGCAGTGATATATACTAGTAACTGCAACTAAAACGTTAGGAAAACTCAATGGGTTTTAGCAGTGTCTACAGAATTGATAGATGCTCGGAAACTCATCCCATCTGACTCAGAACACGATGAGGAGCTGAGGCAGCTTAAACGTAGGCAAATAAAAAGCTTACGTAATGATCGTGAGCAGTGGTGGATAGAGAAAGCAGAAGTAATGGAAAAGGCAGCAGCGATAGGTAACAGTAGACAACTGTTCAAAATTATCAAGGAAACGGGTATTAAAAATCCGTCTGCTAGTGAGACTATCTCAAAAAGACGTGACTATTGTTCTTTGTCCATCTAGGAGATTATATATATATATATAGTACTCAGTTACCAATAATTACAGAATTTGTTCAAACTGACCACAAAACCACATCGAGTCATTCAATTTCAAGGAAAATGCACTGAAAATCAAATGACTACTTACAACTTAAATGAGATTGAAAGTCAATAGATAGAATTCGCGCCAAATAATTTAGTACAATTAAAATGCGTTGAAAGTTGATCAGACGAAAATTACTTTAATTCGATATGTGAGTCTCAAGATTAATTTCCTTCCCCATAGATTGTATTTGAGGATTTAGTGTCACCAAAAATCTATCAATTCGAAGGAGGATTTGTGGAGATTTTAGTAATTTTAATAGTTGAATTCATGAGTTGATTCAAGCTAGACAACTATTGAAAACCTGGGAGCACTGGACGGCCGTTTCGTTCTAGTATGGGACTTTTCACCAGTGCGTTCGCACGCGAGACCGAAGGTCGTGGGTTCGAGTCCCACGTGCGGGATCGTGGATGCACACTGATGAAGAGTCCCATACTAAAACGAAATGACTGTCCATTTCTTCTAGGTTTTCACTAGTGGCCTGTGTTAAGTCTACTGATGAACTCAACTATTAAAATCCACCAGTTGCCTCAGGTCATAATAAATCAATTATTCAGTTTTAAAGTAATGACGAATTCAGGGTTTGTTTAGTCGTGATTACTTTCTGACTTTTTCAGATCAGTTCACATGACCCGCTTCATTGTATTGGTAGATTAGAGTGTCTATTAAATATTTTTAGACGTACCACTATCACTGATTGCTCAAAACAAACAAATTTTGAGAAATTACGAAACACCAACCAGTTAATCGACAGTTTTGCATGGCAATGTCTCTATTCTTCCTCCATTTCTCAAGCAGAAAAGCAATTCGCGTATAACATTGACATAACGTTGGTATATGCTTCTCTGCTTTCTGGGATTTTCTCACTGTTTCCCGATAAGCTGGTAATTTTTCTTTATTTTGTCTAAAGTATATTAATTTATCTAATTTTTAAGTTGAATATTGTAAAAGTTTATTCCGTAATTTTTAAAACATTTAATTAGTTTTTAAATGTCCGCTACTAGTCGATATTATCTTAAGGACAATATAAAACTAAACACACATGCGAGTTGTTTCTTCCCGATTCAAACTTCTCTTGAAGCTCTGAGCATATACCGGTATGAGATTTATTCCAATCAAGCACTTCGACGCTTTATGATTTGCTCATCTGCTGTCAAGTTGAATCATAATGATATATACTTAACGACATTAGTTGGCCCGTAGTGAAGTAGTATCTTCTCGCTCTCTATTCCTATAAATTAAAGTCACACTTACCCTCCCCCATGGGAGGCAGTGATTTCATTTTGATTTTTGATAACCATACTTTTCTGACAGCCATTTTGTTGGTGGTTTATGGAAATCCAATAAACCTAACCGTTATTCTGTGTCACTGATTCGTGATTCTATGAAATTCTTAAATGGCTAGTTAACGATGGTCTTCTGTTTATAGAAATAGAAAACTGAATCTAAACAATAACTTTGTCAGAGAAAATTTATCAGTATATATCAATTACAGTTCTATTGAATTTTAATACTAGTTCAATTTAAAATAGCCTGTGTAAGGTTGTTTCTGATTTAAACTTATGATACATTTCTACTTTAACCTAAATAGATGATTTTGTTTCTTGTTTGACCACTGATTTCTAGTTTAATTTACATCTGTTGGTGGCGCACTGTAGAAGTTGTCAGTGGTTCGTCTTTTAAGGTTATTGAATTTCAGCGAAATTCCATAGTTTGTTGATGTGATGGCTCGCTCTTACTTCAATGGCTGTGAATAATTCTGTTTTCGTCCTTTTTTTCTACTCGCTAACTGGAGAGTAAATTCCAAATTTCTCTAAACGTTTTCTTGATAGAGACCTAAGAAGGAAAAATTTACGTTTAGCTTAATTCCACTATATATCTATAACAGAATTTGTCTAACCGGATAATTGTAACTTGAATGCAGAATTACTGTGAGCTGGTCAATACAAAGAAAAATGTATTAAAAGTTGACTGGACAAAAATTGTCATAAATCAATATATTTATTTTAAGATTGACTTTCTGTCTATAATAATATTACTAGGATATATAGCTCATATCAGTACAAATTATGCATGAATCTGTAGTGTTCGTAGTTTCGCATTCTAACTTTTCTTTAATCTGACAAAAATGTTTGACTCAGTCTATATTTAGTCAACTTTTTGCTAATGTATCAGAAGAATTTTATTTTACGTTCGTTAAGCAAAGTTCACTTGAACCCGTCAAGTGTGGTTGCTATAGATTCCCGTCAACATAAAAATATTTGTTTCCATTAATATTGTATATATCGTATTCGTTTCCCCGAAGGTTAATTATTAATCTTTAGATATTTGGAACCTACTATGTTTTGTGAATCGTCGATTCAATGATTTCAACTGTACTTATCTTTTTTCCTTTTCGTGCAACAAAGATAAATCTTACGAAAGGTTTTGTAAACGGAGTTTGTTTCATTTCATCGAGTTTTTTGAAATAATTCATGTAGTTTATAGGTGTCAATTCCAAGTTGGAATTTATAGTTCCAAATAAATTGACTATTAGGTAGGAAGTTAATAAATATATTTTTTATCATATCCCAATGTGTAGAAAAAACGTATTTTTGACGTTTCGTGACTTAATGTCAGCCACTTCTTTAGAGTAAATAAACAACCGAAGTAAATTAACATAAATTCCTTTATGCTACTTAAACTTACGTTAATTTATTTCGGTTGTTTATCCACTTAGAAGAAGTGGCTCACCCTAAGCCACGAAACGTCAGATATACAATCTTTTTACTCATTGGGATATCACAGAAAATATATTCATTATTAATTCGTGTAGTTTTTTGTGCTACTTTACGTAACATATATTTGTGATTTATTTGGCTTTTTCTTTCGTTAGTTTGAATTCTTCGGTCGAATATTCCTTGCTTGTCCGGCATTGGGATTATTTTCTGATCCAAGTGGTCTTAACTTAATCGAAGAAATGTTTTCAACCACTGATATTCTGTCTAATTGGCGTGGAATAGCTCGTTTGTTTACCGCACTTTTATTGGCACATCCACCTCCACATCTTGGGGTTTCTCGACACAAACTTCTTAATCCTTCACTCCTCTGGCGAGTAATAACAGGAATAGTAAATCAAGAATTTATTCCTTGTGCAACTGCTGAAGTGAGTATTTGTATTCTTGAGATTTCTTGGAGTTATTATTGAATCGTCTAAGCTACAGTTCACGTGGTAATGATAAAATGGTAAACTAGGCTTTATGTTATCATGTCTCAAAGTTAATTTTAGTAGTTTCGATGTATCCATTTTTCATCTTAAGGCTTTTGAACATGCAGTTTTCTAGTTAAGAACCTTATATTATCCAGATGTACTCCGGATATTAAATTCCAAAATACCAACGTTTAAGAAGATATCAATTTCAAAACTCATGAAATGAATTTTTCTATAAATTGCAATTCATTTTCATTAGTATTGATTCACTCAAACCTAATTTAGTTTATTTGGTTGTCAATGCATTTCATGGTATTGACTAATTCATTGTGATTTGCTCAGTTTGATCAAAATTCTGTAGTTAACAATGATTAAACGAATTGAATTAATCTGGATATAAATCAGTTTTATTTGATCTCCCACAATAAATCTTTAAAATATCGAGGATTTTTATCGGGTAAATTAGAATATATATATATTATTTTCAATTAGATCTTGATTGGGGTTTACTTGAGTATACAGTAATATTTATATGTGTGCGTCAAAACTGTGAAACCAACCAAGGCAATTATTAAACTAATGGTAGATTACACAACTAAGTAAGAAGTACGAATTGATAATAGAATGACAGTTGCACCAGTGTTGATAAGAATTGCAAATATAGTAATATGGATATAAGTTTAGATTTGGAGAAATAAGTATTGAACCAACAATTAATAAAATTACGTAATGGAAAGTGTAAAAATAATCAGAATGAATATTTACTATAAAGATGAAGAAAAATAAAGGGTTTGAAAAGTTAGTGAAATTCTTTAGTAGTTCTTATTCTTCCAAGGAAGGAATACATATAAGAGATGAGATCAAATCTCGGTGTGAAACAATGAAGGTATATTATGGATCACTCCAAATGATTTAATTTTATTTACCACATGAGCACTATCAGCCAAGTTCGATAAAATAATGCTAATGTCATATTCGTTTGACCCTTTCTAAACCATCCACTCATTCATTAGTTAAGTTGTCTGATGGTACGCTCATTATAGGTTTCTCCTCAAGACCAGTTGGCTTTGTAAATGCGTATCAAGGAACCAAAAAATCAATTGACTTGTTATTTGTTTGAATGGACACCTGGTAAACTGGAAACTGATAAAGTAAAATTAGCTGCGTAAAAAGTCCTTTTAATCGCTCATACAAGTCTGTCATGTAGAAAAGTACTAGCAAAACTCCTGTGAAGTTGTAGTGTTAGGAAGGAAATTTTCTCTTGAACGGCATATATATCGAACTTTTGATCCACTGGATAAATATGCTTCTTTAGAAACATTTGCTCATACCCTGCTTTGATCACCAGGTTAATAATAAATTCCCATTCTTCTTTTATAGCTACATTTAAGCTGGTCGTTTTTACTTTGCCTGTAAGACATCTGGTCAGATTTCTTTCGTTTAGCGTATAGATGTAAAAATAGTAGCGATCCAGTTGTTTCTACTATATGCTTCATAAATGTGAGCACACACCTTAATAGTAAAAAATTGCTTTCTTCTTAAATAAGCTGTATCTTTTATGAAATACTGTCCTTGTTCATTTATTTATTGATCGCGGAACTCTTCTGTTTTCTATTTCCTCAGAATACCATTAGATCATTCTGTACCTTGTTGTTTGTGGTTTTTTAATTGTGATAAATGAAATAGAATATTAATTTGTTCAATCTATCGAGATTTGAATTGAAATAATATTTGATCATCATACTATAAGTTTGTCATAAAACCTATTGCGAGTAATTTCTTAGTCTCAATATCACATTTACTTGAAATTGTCAATCTATTCAATTACGAAAATAGGTTTAATAAGCTAGCAAAATTAACATAACTCAACTAGAAGGAAAAAAAACATTCCGAAAAAGTATGGCAATGGTTATAGCTCATTAACTACGAATGACTGGGATGTTAACATCATGCCTAACACTGAGTAAGTGACATGTGATTTTACCATTAAATAAATGCGTATAGTTATTTAAATTGCAGTTTTCAGGTGGGACATATTCTAAAATACGAACTTCAAAAGGGGTTCCATTAAGTGAATGAGCTTTTAAAGAGCACGTTCTTTAGAATTCTGTCCAATCAATGCATACATAAGTCCTATCGACAAGAAAAGATTGAGAAACAATTAACTGTAGTTGTTGATAAATATATACGATATACTGATTATCAACTTTAATTTATTGATATCTAGATCAGTCCTATTATTTTCGTTTTTAGTATTACTCAATGTCATTAACTTGATGAACTTTCAAATTTAAAGTCTGAATTTTCATTTGGTGTTCAGTTATTGTTCTGATTACTCTCGGATTGCATTCTAAAAATCAACCAGTTTTTCAAGAATTTTTCAGTAATGTTTAGATACTTTCTGTTTCTTTATTCTCTGATAAGGGACTATCTGTTGGATAGATTTAAGTAATGGATTCAATTAAAAAGCTCCACAAAATAAACTTACTTTTAATGTACCTATAGCTTTACTGCGTTTGGTTGAAGATGTCAACATAATTAATCGGTCTGGCATAAGTCGATTTACATAAATTACTGTTACCATTAAAAGGATTTTCCTTCGCTTGATTAATTTGTTTGATAGCCTCTGGATGATATTGTTACTTATAATACTCTCTTCAAACTTATTGACACTGTAAATGACTTGATCATACTAGATAAATTCACTATCAGTGTCTTAGTATCTTCCGTACAATCATATCGGTATATCTGAGTTATTAATCCATTTTGTAATTTGTATAATTGATTGTATTTTTATTTCTAAAGGTTTTACACGGAATATTAGAACTTGGAGGCTTTGTATTTGTAAATCTCTACGGTAATCAAGCAAAACGTCTTTTCAATACCATCGGTATGATTGTTAATAAATCACCTGTACTACGCCAATCACTACCAGAAATACAATTATTGTCGTTGCTTGAAAAGTATGAAAGTATCGATAAAATGCCAGATCGAATCGGTTTTATTGATAAGAGTTTTTGGGATTCTGTGTGATGCTCACTTGTATATAAAAATCATATTTATTTTTATAATTCGAGATTTGTATATATTTACTTTTGTAAATATTAATATACTTTTAAAATATAGTATCCTGTCACACTATTCCAATTCATTTTTAGATTCATTATGTATTTACAGAGATTTGTTATGTTGTGTATTTCATTTAGGCATGAAACGTACTTATGTAACTTTTCTTTAGTTATTAAAATTGGATTGAATCTAAATGGTATCTTTTGAGATAGTTACATATTATGTCCAAATTAAGTTCTATACCTAAGCTGTAATGAAGCGTGGATTTTAGTGCAAAGAAGTATTTTGTGTTTGGTTTTCTGGAAAGTTTGTAGATTGTTAACATTTCTAAGTTAAGTTTGCGGGCTAAAAGATCTAAAATACAATTCTCCCATCCGCGGTTATTCTAAAGATCAGTAGCATAGTCAAGAGTAGGGTTTCTATGGTGCTCTTTTGTACTTAATGACTGCCTGATTTCGAAATGCAATACGTCCTTCCATGTTCATATGGCTGTTATTTATGGGATTCCTAGTTTGTACTATGATCCAAGTACTTCAAACTATCACATTAACATCGCGGTGGAGCCTGTTTTGGAGCAGTTGGACATTCAGATTTTGATGCTTTTGAGGATTATTTGAATAGGTTTGAGATCTGGCACATGACCAAGAAAGGTGTGAAGGGTGGTAAAAATGTGGCACATTTCCTTACATTCATCGGAAGAAAAGCCGATAGTTTATTGAAAACTTTGGCATATCCAGAAAAACCTATCTTACTTTCTTGTGCAACTCTTAAGGAACTACTATTAAATCTTGAAAAGTGCCACAGTTTTTAATGTCGTGAAAAAGCGAAATTCCATAAAATGATTCGTCAGGGCATCAGGAGTCGCACTATTTTACTACGTCGTCTCAGTCCAATGCGCAATCAGGGTTTTTCAGTTAGCAATTTATTGGGAGGTTACAAAGATGAGCACGAGTTTGGTAAATGCTTGTTCTGTGGCAAGTTTCACCCATGTAATCGATGTGCATTTCGTAATTCTAAATGCTTTAAGTGTAAAACTGGACAAATTCAGTTCATTTGTAATACTACGGTCCATTTCGCTTCGATTAATGCTAAAATTTGTAATTTTGATCATATTAAATTGAGTGTTTCTAATGGCCGCTTATCTTTATCCACGTTTTTAAAAAGCAGTATAGTCACATAGCAGTTCAGAGTGGCGCATATGTATCTGGTGCCGCCTTGTACGAATATTTATGTATTCAAATAGTAATAAGTAGATAACTAAACAAGTTAAGAAACTTGATAGGCTCAGGAAAAAGCACTGGAATATGTTCATCTCCACTGGTTTAGAACAGTACAGATCCAGTTATTGTAAGATTAGGAATGTTTGTAAAGCGATAATAAGTAGGACTACACGATCATATGAAAAACAATTGGTTAGGGATTATAAATATAGTCCGAAACGGTTGTTCTCGTATATAAAAAGACAAACTCAGAGAAGCGATGAAACTTCATCCCTTCTGATACAAGAAAATTCGTTAATATTGGCAAGAAATGATACCGAGAAAACTGGAGGTTTATAAGAATATTTCATTAAAGTTTTCTATCAGTAATGAGGAGAGATTGTGGCGGCTTGCTGGTGAACCTTGTAGTCATTGAGAAAGGTACTATTTCAACTTCTCAAACCTGATAGGTCCATTGGTCCTGATGATATTCGTCCTAGGACTATGGCAGCTTTATCAGATGTAATTGCTGAACCTTTAGAGATACTATTTGGTATGCTTCTGAGGCAGTCCAAACTGCCCAGAAACTGAAAATACGCGATAATTAGTCCGGTGTATAAGGCTGGGAGTAGAGATTTAGTTATTAAATGTAGACCCGTTAGCTTAGCTTGTGCTGTTGTAAAACTGATGGAAAAAATCATTCGGATATCTGTTATAAACTATGTTGAAGGGCATAATCTTTCCTCCAGGGAAACACATGGTTTTCAGAGAGGTCTATCATTCTTTACAAATCTCATTGCAAGGGAAAATTGGGTTGCGGCCAAAGATCGAGATGTTCCTGTAGATGCGATTTCCATGGATCTAAGTAAAGCCTTCGATAAGATCTCCCATCCTGGTCTTAAATTTAAACTGGAATGTTTTGGAATTCATTATACAGTCACAGATTGGATAAGTGACTTCCTCCATGACTGAAGGCAAAAGGTAAGTGTAAATGGAGCTCTTGTTCATTGAAACCTGTAAAAAGTGGAGTTCCCCAAGGCACGATCCTCGGTCCTCTTCTATTTTTACTTTGTGTGAATGAATTACCAACGGTAGCAGAGTTATCTGTACTTATCTTTGCCGACGACGTAAATGTTTGGAAACCCACACACAGTATATCGGATAGAATATTATACAGGATGATCTCAATTCATTGGTGGCATGGATGGACGGGTGGTCACTAGAAGAGCGTGGCGGTGCAATTAAATAACTATGGCGATTCCTATCATATAAACTATGGAACTATAAAGATCCAGGAGTCATATTAAGCAGTGATCTCAAAACCACTAGTCACTGTTAGGCTGCTTCTGTGAAAAGCTATAGGGTGCTATGGTCAATTCGTAGGTCTTTCCAGTATTTAGATGATGAAACGTCTAGATTTACGTGCGACCACATTTAGTACATAGGATTCAAGCAGCGAGTCCTTGTTTCACGTATGAAGCAGAGATTCTGGAAAGAGTTCAACGACGAGGGACTAAGATGGTACATGGTCTATCTGGCCTATCTTATGAAGACAGACTGAGACACCTAAACGTATTTCCGTTATCTTACCGTAGAGTACGGGGTGATCTAATATTGGCTTATCGTATACTGAACGATGACCTTGGTATTAACATATCTCATCTTTTACTTCCTTCCAGGACCGATCATTTGAGAGGACATTCGAAGAATGTGCAAAAACCGAGATCGAATCGTTTGCATCTGGAGTTTCATTTCTCGCACCGAGTAGTGAATTACTGGGATTCTCTATCAGAACACGTAATATCGGCACCTTCTGTTGATATATTCAAAACGAGACTAGAAATGTTTACCAACGATCCAATCATCGGACTGTTGGAACAGATGAAGAGTTTTACGAGCTCATCAAGAGGAGTGTTAAGAAATATAAAAAGAATCTTATAATTCACTTTCTTTACGTCCAGTAGCATTAATCAATCTGTAGTAGCATGGTTGCACATTACCAAACTTTTCTGTAAAGTCGTGACATCTTAGACAGAGGAAACTCCAAAAACATCAGAGAATTTTTAGAAGCTTGGCACTCAGGTCAATCAGCAATCAACAAACATATTGAAATCAATCCAATTTATCAACCAATCAGGAAAATCATGCATAAATATAGGAATAAAAATCAAAGCAATGAGAGACACAACCAAAACAAAGAAGTAAACAATGATAAATTTAAGGTCAACAAGAACCAATCAACATCGAGGTGCACAGAACAAGCTGTGAAAGACATATGGAGAAGTTCGAACACTTCACTTCTATCTGAAGTTTGTGCTGATGATATCGTTCAGAAGAACAATGAAAGCTCCACGACCAAACCATCCAGCTCAGAGAACAAAACTCCACCAAAATCATCCACCTGAGCTACAAATCTTCTCCACCATCTCAAAATCTGTACATTTTCTTTTTTTGCATCATGATTGTTCACAAATATCACACTCTTCTTTCAACCGTTCATCCTCTTCAAGGATCTTCTGGATTTTGTTTGTTCGTAGCGTATGATCTTGACATATTTGATCGGATTCCATGTATGAGGTTCTTCTTAATCGCAAAATCTATTGTCTGTCATATGGCCATTAGGCCTCAGTATCATTTGTGAATAAGTGGTTTGTAGTACACTAACAAAAGAATTCAGTAGTTATACAAACTATCATCGATGATTCGCAATGATAATGATCTCTAACACCTTAATATTAGAGGTGGGGATACAATTAGGTTTAGCTTGAATTTTATGGATTATGGTATTATTTATTCTTATTCTATTTCACACAGTTACAAAAATGTTCATACATACCTTAAATCCCAACCTAATATCCTTTCGAACCACATGTCGTAAGTGTGGTGTATACGCTACCAAAACTCTTGTGCATAAATTCATCAGTGACCAAGCCATAAATGGTTGATTCAAAACACATGTATTGTAGTGCCTGAAAAAGCTGCTGTGGCTAGTTCTATGCCAAGTGTAGATGGGTTATTCTAGCTCCTGGACAGACCGAATTATTCTTTCTTCAGTCACATTTTGATTTGGTCAGTTATTTGCTCATTAACCCTGACTATTTTTATATGAGTGTATGTGCATGTATTGCCTACTTTTTCATCGTATATCTTCAACTTATTTTTTGTCTAACTATAAAAATTGAGATTTACACTAGAATAAAGTAACAAAATGTAAGTCATCAAGGTGAAACAGTAAAAGACAATGAAAGTTAACTAGGTAATATAAGGTTTTGTTGAAGGAGACCTGAATGAAGGTTAAAATACATGACAGGGGAAAGGTACAACTAAAAAATGTTGCCCAATTAAACACTGTGGATGGATTTCCAACGTGTACTTGTTACATCTAGTCTACGGGTATTGTTTTCAATACTTGTCATAACCACACCAATGAAATATCAATTACAGAACTTGTACAATTGACAGTGAAAGCTGTCCTACAATTGATCATCAGTCTTGGACTTAGTTAAATAACGGGTTCTAATGAGTTATACCAACGAAAGATGACGTAGTTAGTTCTATAATTAATTATGAACAGAGACAGATGGTGTCTCGTCACCGACCTATCGGACTAACCAGCATTGTAGCGTTCTTTGAACATCCAATAGCTTTGACAAGGGGACATTTTAGATTTTATAACCCACCTATGTACGATCTAGCAGTCTACACCTGAATAATCATACTAAGATGCTCAAGCGTGTTTAGCGTGTAAGAACAAACTTGTCGAAGAGTTTTTCCAAACTCAATTACTGTCAAACTATTCGTGCTAATCTTGACGAATATTCCTATATCTTATGATGAACGCTTAAAACGCCTGAAACATTTCAACTTATCGTACCGTAGGACGCGAGATTACCTTACATTGGCGTTTTGCATCTTTATTAGTGATTTGTGCGTTATTTTGTCTCGTTATTT